GGTGTGGGTGTGGGTGTGGGTGTGGGTGTGGGTGTGGGTGAGGGTGTGGGTGTGGGTGTGGGTGTGGGTGTGGGTGTCCGTGTAGACAAATACGAGAATTATCCCACACGCACACCCACATGCACACCCACACCCACACCCACACCCACACCCACACCCTTATACTTTAAATAATCTGTCGAGTTTGATTGTGACATTCTTTGGAAATGATTTAAATGAATTTTGAATATTAAATTTGAAAACAATCATATAATTTTTATTCCGATTCTAGATCTTTTATTCATCATACTAAATTTAAAAATCATGCTCTACTTATCTTTAAGATAGGACAGAGCAGGTAAAAAAAACTGTTCATTAATGATCACTTGTTTCTAATAATAATAATTAAACCACTTAATAAAACAATTCAAAAGCTGCTTAACTCTGAAACAAATATAAATTAAAGGCATATTATGTTTCATAAGTTTTGTTAAAACCTTTATAACTTGTATTTGATGACAGAATTACAACTCGAAAGTTTTCAATAAAATATATTATAATACAATATCATTCATGTAATCCAATGAAGGACAATGCATATATTAGAAAGACTATACATTAATTTACAGAAAAGTTTTCAAATAAATGTAAAAGATGAAAAATGAAATTATTGAAAAGTTAATTTGTTTAATGAAAAGTGTGTGGGTGTGGGTGTGGGTGTGCGTGGTGGGTGTGGGTGTGCGTGGTGGGTGTGGGTGTGCGTGGTGGATGTGGATGTGCGTGCTGGATATGGGTGTGCGTGCTGGATGTGGGTGTGCGTGCTGGATATGGGTGTGTGGGTAAAAGTGTGGGCCTTCTCCTCTGCTAACATCGACACCCACACTCACACCCACACCCACCCCCACACCCACACCCACTCCCACACCCACACCCACACCCACACCCACACCCACACCCACACCCACACCCTCAGCTGACTATATATATCTATGTGTATTGTTTTTTTCTCTTGTTATCTTTTTCCTGACGATGGTGATAATGTTCACCGAAAGCTTGAAATAAAAATATAACCTTGAATTTTGATAAAATTCTAATGTACTTCGTAGCAGTTATCTACTCAATTCTCTCTTTATTATTACCTACTGCTCTACCTCATGATTTTATAAACATTGTCTGTGATTTTTATTAGTGATTAAAGCTAATGATCACCAACTAATACATTACAAATATAAATTTGCTATTTTAATCTTAAAATCCATGATAACAACTGTGTAGATCATTTTATAAGAGTAATTTCATTCCTGATGATCGAATCAAAAAGTAAAAATGCCAGAAAGATATGTACTAGCACATAATGGAAAAGAATATATAACCATGAAAGTGCATACGTATCACAACCACCTGTTTGTATCTCACTATCTTTTTCATTTTATGAGCTTATCAATCTGTCGTTGCATTTTTCTGTTTGTGCTCGCGTATATATTATAAAGAACATGCTTGTTATCAGTACATATCTTTCTTTTTGCTTGTAGATCAGATAGAAACCGTTGTGAGTATGTCCAGTGAATTGATTTTACATCATTATGCAGGATCACCATACGCTGAGAAAGTGCGATTGGCAATGGGTTTGAAAAAGTTGAATTGGCATTCAGTAATCATCGATGTGGTACCTCCTAGGCCTTATCTCGAACCACTCACCAGTGGCTACCGTCGAGTACCAGTGCTTCAAATTGGAGCGGATATCTACTGTGACACACATCTTATTTTAAGAACACTTGAACGTCTACAACCTAATGCACCTAGCCTCTTTTCTAACAGTGCAACTCAGCCTCTCTGTTGGTGGTGGGATAAGTCGACATTTATACCTGTTGTGAAATTATGGGTAGGTCTTCATGGTGATAAGTTAAACCAAGCTTTCTTGGAAGATCGGAAGAAATTTCTCGACGGTGGCAGTTTGACAAAAGAAGACAATGAAGCCGATATACCACTGAATGTACAACGTATCAGAGCACATCTCGTATGGCTTACCGACATGTTGGCTGATGGACGTCTATTTCTACTTGATTATTCGTCACCATCAGCGTTCGATATCACTGCCTATCACACACTATGGTTTGCAAAGTGCAGAGGTGGTAGTGAAGTTGAAGCTTTGTTGCCACAACTTTTTCAACCAGGTCCACTTCTCTCATGGTTCGAGCGTGTAGCCACATTAGGTCATGGTGAGAATCAAGAAATGACACCCGAACAGGCATTCGATACAGCAAAACAAGCTGAACCTGTTGAACCAATATACATAAAAAATAATGGAAGTGGTGAGTGGCATGTTGGACAACAATTACGTGTCACACCTGATGATTATGGGCGAGTACCAGTGGATGGAACACTTGTAGCAGCAGACGATCATGAAATTGTGCTTCGACTTTGCGATGATAAGACAGGCAATATTAACGTTCACTTTCCTCGAGCCGGATTTGATGTCATTCCAATTTAGTAGAGATGACTATTCCGTACCTTACATTATCTTTTTAAAAATTTGATTGAATTGATAATAATTATCTTGTTCACCGTTTATATATGTTGGTCTGCTAGCTCTCTATAAGTCGATGAATGTAACTTCCGTCATAGTAATAATATTTTCCTTTTTTTCAGTTATTTTATTATCCATTCCTATTGCGAAAGGAAGTGACAAAAAACGTAAGCAACAAAGAAACAAAAGAAATGAAATTCTATACGCTGTATCCTTTCTATTGGTATATATATGTCGTATCGAAGTTAGCATGTTTATCGAAGTTATAACTTCGATAAAATTTTTATCGAAGTTACAACTTCGATGCTTCCTCTTATCGAAGTTTAACTTCGATAGAATTTTTTT